TCGAAGGAGACCACCTTTTAAGAAACTGATTAAGGAATGCAATATTCGTTCTCTTAACATATCAGTAGTAACAGTAGCAGTTACACACTCTTCAAACGAATAAAATTGAAAACTTGGCGAAAAAAATTCAATTTTAGCAGTATAAAGTATCAATAAATTCTTTTTACAATTATTTATTAGCCTGTAATGTATAGATATATGTATGTATGTTTTGATATATGACAGCTTGCCTGTGTTATTTTATAAAGTTGAAAAATTTGTTGAAACAATGTCGAATTCTTAAAATCCTTCTCTCTCTCTCTCTCTCTCACTCTCATTCTCTCTCTTTCTTTTGTTGTTGTGCTTTTATCAACTTATATTCATTTAGTTGCATATAATGAGAGGAATAAAAAAGGTTCCATTCGATCTTTTTCATCTATTTTGGATCAGATACACTAAAAAAATACATTAGCAATAGAATAATAGGAAAAGAAAGATGGATGGGAATGGGAAAGGTGGAAAAATCATTCGATTACTTCTTTTTATTCATCATTATTATAGTTATTTTATTCTTTCTCTTTCTCTTTCTCTCTCTCTCTCCTCTTTTTTAAATTAAATTTAATGTAAACTAGTATGTAAAACTATTTGTTGATAAATATTTAGTTAATTAAGTACTTAGAATTGTACTTTATGCTTCATTACCTATATGGTAAATTTTTTTATTAATAGTGAACTTAAAAAAAGAAAGCAGAAAGAGTAGTAGATTAAATAATATCTCTATATTATGTATTCAAATTTGCATGCTTAAAAAACATCGGTGAGATAACAATTGTGTTCATAGGATATATTCTATAATGTAGCACATTTGAAAATATATCTTTTGGTCGGTCGATATGACATATGAAATTTTTAACTTAAAATTATAGAAGGAAAGAAAATGATAGAACGAGTGGAAATTAATAATTATTATTATACGCTAAAATTTGTTTAGGATTCAATATAGTAACTGATAATGATTGCTTTTTTAAATGAATAATGCTATAATAAAAGTAGGAGGAAAAAGGAAGAAAAGAGAAATTTGATATGATATTATTCCTTAAGTTGTGAAGAATCCACTATATATATATTTTATAGGAGAGATTTATTTCATAAAGTTACTTTTATTCAAATACTTGAAAATTTTCAGTCAAATATGTGAAAATTTTTATAACCCTTATAGCTAATATGGGTTAGCTTGATTTTTAAAATTGAAAAATTAAGCAAAAATTTTTTCGCTGATATATCACATATATAGCACAATATATATGAAAGGAATCTTACAAACAGAGGGAGAGAGAAGGAATGATTAGATCAAAGTGATTTATATTGACGTGATTTAGACATTGTTTTTATCATTTAATATTTAATCACATCAATATTTTCCTAAACCATCAGCATTTTTTTCTCCTCTCGAATCTCGTATTATTCTTTTAAATTTTAATTGGTTAAATTATCATTACGATGAGCACTACTATCTCATACCCATTCATTTCTTTTTATTAGGTTTTCCTAATTTGATGTATGAATTTATTAGAAACCTAACGGATACTGTCATTAATTTTCATTTTACGAACATTTTAATGTATCTTGGATAAAGAAGGGGTTTTCACTACTTTGTTAACACTAATTTGGTATAAAATAATAAGTTCATTTGGTATACATAATTCCTTGTTCTTTATCAGTTCTAGAATTTCGACTGAAAATGAGTAAAACAAAATTTGAAATTCACAAGTGCGTGATTCATCTTGGAAAAGAAAGAAAAGTAAGAATAGGAAAAGCGAAGCTCTGCTTGATTTAAAATTGACTGAATTTGAATTTACCGTTAAACTTCTTTTCTTTTAGGAAAGTTTGTATTTTAATTTTTTAATTCGGTTTTACTTTATTTTTTTGCAGGAAAAGTGTTGGGCGTCGTCGTGGAAGTTCACTTCGTAACGGACAATCGATTAACGTTAATCCAACACCGAAACAATCTCTTAGTCCAATGCAACCTGCAAAAGACATGAAAGAAGGGACGTCAACCATTTCATCCGTAATTTTTCTTCTTAACATTACTTTTCTTAGTACACTAAGTCAAGAAATATTTCGACTTTTTTTATTTCGATTATTTTGAGTTAAAAATCTTGAAATATGCAATAAATAATTCCTCTATTTAATAGTAGCGCTATTTTGAATAACTTGTTCCATTATTACCCATTATTGTAGGATGGAAAAACAAGGAGAAAGAATAGGTATCGCTTTGAATTATTATCAGATAATATTACCAAGCATTGACAGATAGTTAAATCTTATAAATATTCAAGTTATGATTTTTAGAAGTACTGTTTTGGTTAGCGAATATTTAGCAAATAAGACCGAATTATGATAGTTATACTAATAACAATAGTGACAACAACAATAATTGATTAATAGTGAAAATAGCGATAATAATAATAATAATAATAATAATAATAATAGTGGTTATTAAGTTATAATTGTTGTAATCATATCACGAACAATTAATAACTAATAATTATTAGTTGATAATTAGTAGTAGTAAATAATGACAGTAGTAGTATAGTAATAACAGCAATAATAAGTAACATTAATTAATAATAACCTTAATAGTAATAAAAATGATAAGCAGCAATGATGAATAATAATAATAGTAATGGTAACAGTTAGTAATGATGATAGCGGTTAATAATAACATTTAGTGATAATAATAATTATTATTGTAATAATAATAATAATAATAATATTATTATAATAATTATTATTATCATTGTTGTAGTAATAGTAATTATTATTATCATTATTATAGTAGTATTAATAATAATATTTGATAATAAATAATAGTTATTATTACGATAATAATAACAATTAATAATAATAATGACGATCGGAAGGGAGGTACGAACCGCTAAGTTAATTTATAGTTTCCGCAAATTACATTGAAGGAAGTTTCTTCTGGCTAAATTTCGTTGTAGTTTAAATTATCAGAATCAATAGCACTATAAACTAATATTTGATGATTTTTAAAATGTGAAGTTATGATATTATTGGTTAGATTTATTCCTCCGTTAGAAAAATATTTTATTCAATTTGGAATTTAAGGGGCAATATTTGAAATTTTTTGTCAAGAAGAATTCCAACACATTTATTCTTAATAGTAATAATAGCATAGCATTACATTAATACTGAAATTCGTCGAAAATTTTCAACATTTTCTGGAACGATTGTTTTGATCAAAACGAAGATATAAGATGGCTTTTCTCCTTTTTTTTTAATTTGGATTGCTTCAGCAAGGAACTGAACAGGAAAAATTCTCCATAATCGACCCCAAAATTATCTAATTTGAATTTTTCTTCTTTTATTCCTTCCAAAATGTACCAGCAATGGAAGAAAAAAATGGATAGAAGGGAATTCCTTTTTTTAAAAAAAATTAGAAAGGACATTTTTTTCTCCGTTCTATTAGATATCATTTCGTTTTTAGAAGATGGCAATTTATCATTTTTACCCTTTTTTCTCTCTCTCCCTCTCTCTCTCTCTGCATTTCACTTTTTTATCTTATTTCTTATAAGATAGGATTTTCTTTTTGCAATTAAACTTTCCTGAAAGTTTTAACAAAGTACGATAAAAGAAAAAGAGTATAATGGGTTAGAAGAAGAGTTAACATGAATTGGTGCTTCAAATTTTTAAATGTACATCCCTTGAAAGCAAACAGTTCGAGTCAATGGCCTCATTAAAATTCCGCTTTTGAAAGCATAGCAGATATTTACTAATGTGTAATTACTATTTCCGCCATCCACTTTTACCTTTCTTTAGGAAAAAAGAAGGAACTTTGCACTTGATAAATTACAAATTAATTCTTCAAATTTTTGATGCAAAGTAAAGAACGCAAAATGTTGCAATGATTTTTCTTTTCATTTTCTATTTTAATTTTTTTTACCAAATAATCATCTATTAATCAAATCAAATGGATAATGTAATGTCATCGCATTGAGATTCGGATGCATTTTATAACATCATTTGAAATATATTTGTTGTTAAAATTTAGGATCTAAGTATTTCAGCTTGTTTCATTTGAAAGAAAGAAAAAAGAAATTATGAATTATTCGATCGAATTTAAAGTATATACAAATATATCTTTTTTTTCGCATACAGTTTAGAATTTATCATTTGTAAATATTTAAATTTCCGGAATATAATTTAAAATGAAAAAAACTCTTTTCTGTTTCTCTATGAAGAAATATTTCATATGTGACTATGATTAGTTTAAGTCTGTATATCTCGCTTCCTAATAGTAATGCTAACTGCTATAGGAATAGTGGAAGGGAAGAGATTTTCATGAAAATCAATTTCACCGGGTATATCAAATGAAGGTGAAAGTGGCAATACCCACTGACTACTACCATTTTTTTTAGAAAGAGAAACGGAACGAAACACAATATCTTCAGACAAATTTTCTTTAAAAATTAATCGATAAATGATGTTAGTTTTATCTATGAATTTCAACAACATGATGAGATTGCAACTTATAATATTTCAAACGATAAATTTTACAATTAGTAGGGACAGTCTTTCCTTCTTTCATTTTCGTTGCCAGGTCTTTTCAAATTCAAATTGGTAAAAAAAAAACATTTCTTTATTCGCTTCTTTCATACTATTCACTAATGATCATCGTTGATCATATTTTACGATATATTATTTTTAAGAATAAAAAATATAAGAGCACAGATATGATTAAAAAGTATTGCATTTGCAGTTATTTCTTATTAAAATTTTTTTAAGCATACTTTTTGCTGGAATTTAGAAGGATAATTTCACAAAAGTTTGAAGTTATGAGATTTATATTTTGAGATTCGAAGCATTAATATAATTCTACATGAGAAGGGTCATTTTTGTAAATATTGAAGGATAATTGAAAATTTTGCAGTAGAATTACATCAATTAAGTAATTTAAATACAAAAATTAGGCATAGAAAGTGCGGTTTATTATTTAAATGTTGGCAAAAGTGAATAAGTAAAAGTTGATCCCCAAGATCATCTCGTCTTCAATTTATCATCTTCGGTATAATTACAGTGCATTATTTACACCAATTGGATACTTTAAATTGAAAAGTAAATAAGGATGTAAGTAGAAGGTTGCGTAGGAAAGTACACAAATGAACAAATTGATTATGGAAAAGTGAAGAACAAATTTGGAAACAAATGGGACAGAAAATTTAAAATTTTAGATTTAAATTGTCAATATAAAAGAAATCCAAGCTGAATAAATAATAGAAAAGAAATTAACTAAAAAGGAAGAAGTAAATCCGATCATTATTCGTTTATCAAAAATTTGAAAATTTCTTTTTTTGTAGGATTCGTTGTCGTGTTCGTGTTCCCAATCTTATGTAAAAACATTTATGGTAAAGGACAAGATCACAATGCTGAAGGAATCAATCATCGATGATTTTTCCTTATTGATGTTCAAAAATTTAGATGATTTACAGGTCGTCTTCATTTTCTTTTCAATTTTTTTCTCGTTATGATTCAGCTAAGTACTAACAAATCTACCTGTAGAAGCCATTTTAATTTTACCTTCACTTTCTAATTTTGAAAAATGATATAGGACAACGTTATGAATTAACCATGTGAGCAAAAAAATAGAAAGAACATTGGATACCTGATGAATTTTAGCCAATCGATTTTTAATATTTCTTTTTTCGTAAAAAAATTTGCCGAATATGCGTATCTTTATTTATCAATTCTTCCAAAAGTACGATATTATAATTAAAATAATCCTCCGAAATTCGGTTGATTTTTACAAGCTAGTGAGATTTTTTTCCCCAAAATTTCAATTTTCTTTCTTTGTGAGCAATGTTTGTATGTATAGATGTATTCGTTGGAAATAAAGCACGCCGCCCGGTCGTCCTTCACCTGATATCGTCCCAGTTTTAGGGAAAAGAGTAATCTGTCCTCCTTTTCTCCTTTTGCCGTCTATTCCTTTCTCATCTCCTTTCGTACTCTTTTAAAACCACTTTTCTTGAAGAAGTTGCTGAGAGCTTTCGAAATTTGTGGCACATTTCATTACGAATAATCGTGGTGTTGATTTTAGGGTCACGAATTTCTTCCATTTGTCAATGTTAAATTTCTCTGCTTTGGAATAAAATCCAAATTTCAATTCACCTTTAAGTTTGAAATGTTTCTTTTTCGTGGAATTAATAATTTTGTATATTTCAGGTCTTTCAGGACGAGGTGAAAGCTATCAAAGCGAAAGAAGAAGCCGAGGAGAAACGGCGTAGGTATGAAGAAAATGTACGGTTAGGCTTAATCAAGAAAAAAGGCCGGAAAAGTAAGGCCCAATTAGAAAAAGAGCGAAAACTGGAGAGGAGGCGTTTGCGACGGGAGAAAAAAGAGCAGCGGCGAAGAGATCGTAGGGAACGTCGGGAACGTGAGGCTCGTGAAGGAACTAGCGCTGATAGTGAGGAGCGACGGTTACGGAAAGAGAGAAGACGTGAGCGGAAGGAACGACGTGAGCGTGAAATGCGTGAACGTGAATTGACAGGTGACGAAAAATTGGAAAAAAAGGAACGGAAGCGGAAACTGAAAGATCCGAATGCTGCTAAAAAGCTGTCCCGACAACCGGTTAGTTTTTCTGGAATATTTGGATATTCGTATTCTTTTGCACTTCATGAAGTGGTGGAAGAAGCTTGCTGCATGAAATTATTTTCAATAGAAATAGAAATTAAGAAGAAGAAAATATTTTTAAAAGGGGGGTTGATATATGTAGAAAGTATAAAGCAATTTCTTATGTTAAAAGATTTTTTTTCTTAGTAGCATCATTTATATATATTTTTTTAAATTGCGATATAACGCTTTGTCCGAAGAGGTTTGTAATCAAAAAAAGAATGAGAAAGAGAGAGAGAGAGAGAGAGAGAGGGAGAGTGTATTATGGGGGATGAAAGATGAGAGAAGTTCAGAAAGTGAGTAGTGGAACCAGAATTTTCAATTTTGTTTGCAACGAAATGAGCTGAGTGGATGTTTCTAAATCCCTCTTTCCAAAGTTTCTTTTTTTGTGATGATGGCGATTCGATAAACGTACTTCATCATTTTTTCGAATTCGAATGTCCTGAGATATATATATATATATCGACCAAATGAATTGAATGGAAGAGATCGGGATATGTGATCTTCATTTCTTCTTTTTATCTTTCTTCGCCTAAAAGCAACATAAAAAAGGTTTAGCAAGCATGTCAACAACAAATGAACAATTAACACTTAACACTTCATCAGTTGTGAAAAATGTTAAAATACAGACATTTTTTATCCAAATCTTTGACAATTATTTCGAATCTGTTCTTGGACGATTTATTTACATTATTGAAAAAGAATCAAGTTGATGACGTATGTATAAATTCCGACGTCATTTCTAATTTAATTAATTCATTTATAATATAATACTAGCAAGCGAGCAAAATAAATCGAGTTTACCGGTTAGCATTATCTTGAGAACTTTCTCTTTTTGTGTTGTTATATTTCCGGTTGGAATCAAACATATATATATATATATATATTCTGGATATTGAATGAAACAATTGTGGCTATTTGTGATATTTAGATTGAAGAAATTTAGGAGAGTTTTGTTGGCTGTTTAAACAAATAAAAACGAGGAATTTACACATTATGCTTTTGGGTACAAGGGACATGCGGATATTTTTGTTTAATTTGAAGATTTTTCTATGATTTCAAAAAATTAAGATTATTTTTCTTTGATTCATGAATGTGGTTTTTTTTCCATACTAGAAATTGGGATATTTAAACTTTGTTCTTTTTTCTTTCGCACAATATTGAAGAATTTAAGGGGGCCAAAGTGGCAGCTGTGAAATTTCTTGTTTATCGTTGTTAAATCAAGGGGATATCATTCCAAGAGATTTCAAGGGCACTGTAGAATTGTTCAATTCAAAAATTTTAAATGGACTTTTTCTTTGTACCTATCAACTAACTCTACCAGTTTGTTAGTCTTCTACAATTACTTCATTGTCAGCAATCGTTTTCCGGGTTTGCAGCGGAATAAATAGGACCTAGCATGTGGATAAAACATGCTATGAAGTTCTCGCATTTGTTGTTTTGCTTTTCGTGACGTTTTACTTTGTACATCTAATATTTTCTCTTAGCTTAGCTCGTATTTTCTTTTTAGATCACTATCAAGCCCCAAGGGTTAAGAAAGGATAGTTCATTTCATAATTAACTTCTTTAATTAAGTTCTAATAAATTTAATTCGGACAAGGTTTCTTTAAACATCTTATTTGTAATTAATAGTCTATTGGATATGTCTTTTACATATTTCATTTCTTCATTGTATATACTCGTATGCTGCTATTTAATCCTCGCTTTATTTCACTCAAAGAATCAGTGAAGCATGTTTCGAACAGTCTTATTTTTTAATATTTAATTTAATGCTTTATTTTGAAATTCTCTCTAATAAATTATGGATGTTGAAAAAAAGAATGAAAATGAAGAGATTGTTTGCATTTGTAAGTTATATTAGGAATTACACGAAAAGAAAGATTTCGGAAATAAGGGGAAGAGGAAAGGAAAAATGGTATGATACTTTCTTTAACTTATACCCTTAATCAATGATTGAGAGGGAGGTTCAGAGGACGAGGAATGGGAAGAGGTGGGAGGATCGGAGCTGGTAGAAGGAAGAATGAAGAAAATATTCATCCCCTCCTTTACTTGTTTTTTTAACTCATTTCTTTTTGGCCTTTTTTTGGTTTATTTTAAATTCCATTTCACTCTTACTTCTTCTCGTTCTTTTTCTTAAATTAAAATTGAAATGTGCTTACTTATATCTTTTATTGCTTTCCTCTTTCATTTCCTTCCTATTACCTCATTTCATCTATTCCCCCTTTTATTTCTTATTTCCTTTTTCGCTTCCATTATCGACTAGGTCATTTTTCTCTCTCTCTCTCTCTCTCTCTCTCTTCACTTTTTTAAATCGACCTTCTAGGACATTTCGTTTTCCCCATATTGCATATTATTGATATGTGAAAAGTTCGTCTTACATCACTACTTTCTGTGCTTTTGTTTAATAAATATCGAACAAATCGATTTTATTTCCTTTCGGAAAAAGTATGGCGAAGTTTTCAATTGATTTTTTTCCTCTCTAAAAGATATTTTAAAGTTTTAAAATCTATTTTTTCCTGAGAAAAGTAGAACGAAGTATTAAAGATAACAGAAAGAATTTTGAAAAAAATCTTTTTTTAGTAATCTCAGTAATCAGTAAAAGCATTTTTGTCTATGTATCGATGTCATATCAGTACATTGAATTACTGATAAATATTATTTGGAAAAGAAGAAAGAAATAATTATCATTTTTGGAGTGGATAGATTCCTTCTTCTTCTTCCTTTTCCTTTCCTTCCTTACATTTATACTTTTTTGATATTTGCAACAGCTAATGCTTCTAATCATTATGTTATTATATTTTTGCTGCCTAATTTTACTTCATCTTATCATTTCATTTCCTTTTTCCACCTCTCTCTCTCTCTCTCTCTCTCTCTTTCTCTCTACTCTTTATCTATCATTCAATTTACAATTAATTTTAATTAAAAATGTAGAAGGAAAAAAGTTCACCCTCAATTTCTTCCATCTACTATCTATATTTGTAAACATTTCGAAGTGCTCAGTGCTCATATCACATTGCAAAAAAAGAGGAAAAAGAAGGTGTTTATAAATTTTTCTGTTGTAAAGGATATATTCAACAGCTATCATTGATTGATTTGTCTCAATTTTCGATGTCATAGAACAATCCTGCAAGTAGACAACATGCTATACTAAAAATATACTAAATCTCTTAATAACTGAAAATAATCCCTATTGATGATGATATTTGAGAGAAAGCTAGAGAAATTAATTGGAATTTAATTAAGTATTATATTTTCTGGAAGAAAAAACTTAGAAAATGAATTCATATTAAAATTAAACCTATATATGAAATATTTCTCAAGAAGAAAATTAGAAAAGTGAATTTGAATTAAATTTAAATATTCCCACCTACATGCTGTTGTTTTGCTCTTCATATCCCATTGTCTTTCCATCTACCTATATACTCTTTCATTTTCTTTTTCTATGCAACTTTCAGCGCTTCACTTTTTGTTCTTTTTTCTTCTGCTCGACAGTTTGTCTATTTTTCATTTCCAATATTTTTTTAAACTTATTTTATTTATTGGTTTATTAACTTATTTGGTTAACTAGTCATTCAGTGAACTCGTTATGTAGTTAGTCAGTCAATCAGTCAATTCATTCCTTTCATTCATTCGTCCATCCCTTATCTCCAACCAGCCGTTCATCTCATATTTCTTCATCATTTTCAGCTTCTCTTTCTTCCTTCCCTCATTTCTCTACTAATATCATTTTGTTATCTAAGCTTTTTCTTTACATTTCGCATTTCTCTTACCTGTTCATATATTTCATTTCATTTTCTTTCCCTTCCTCCATTTCTACATTCATCTCTTCACAATCTTCTTCCTTTATATTCGTTATTGAAATCCTTGCAAAGAATGACGGATGAGCTTTATTAAAAAATAAATTTTAAATTAGAATTCAGTCATGTTTCTTCATCTTTCTCTCTTTTAAATTTTGACCTGTCTTTTTTCAATACAATATTTAGTAGTAGTAGTAGTTGTTGTTGTTGTTAATCAATGACCTTATTCGAATCATTTCTTTTTCCTTCGTTTTGTTTGTTTATTTGTATTTCGATTCTCAAATCCTTTTACACTTTTCTGTCCCTTCTCTTTTTCTAATTTTTAATCTCTCTCGTTTCTCCTTCCCATAATCTCTAATGTTCAAAATGTTGTATGTTAGTTGAGTAGCACTTATTTGATTACTGTTTGTTAAAAATTTCTCCTCCTCTCCTTGTTCTCTTTTTTTTCCTTCTTTCTCTCTCCACTTTGTTGATTTTTTCACTCCCTTTTTAAGACAACAAGAAGTAAAGAGAGAGAAGGAGAGGACGAAAAAAAATGAAAACCTTAGGGAAGAGATTGATGAGGGTGGGGAGGAGAGGGGATAGATCGAATTTCCCCTCTTCCTCCCGCCCCACATGTCCACCTCCACATTTTAAGTCCTGCATGTTGCTGCTACTGCTGCCGCTGCTGCAAGTACTTGTTGGTGCCACCGCCACTTTGCCGGCCAAAGGAGCCGAAGTGGGGGGAGGGCGGAGGGAACGATGTTGCTATCGGTTGTGAAGGACGTCGTTCCGTTTCCATCGTATCTTTTTGTATATATATATGTGTGTGTGTGTGTATGTATGTATATATGTGTGCATGTTATATTGTCTGTCATGTTGTATGTATGTTATTCGCGGAATTTGACAGGCATTGAACCTTTTCCGCCCTTTCTCTCTCTATTCCCTATCCTTTGTATCCCCTGTTTCGATCATCAGCTGGTACAAAATTACTAACCGCCCCGAGTACGCTTAGTTCCATTTTTTTATTTTTGTGCCTCTCTCTTTCTGCCTTCCGTTTTCATGTTTTACATCTGATTCTATCCGTTTTCCTCTTTCTCTCAAAAAAATTCACTGTTCATTTTTTAAAAATTTCTTTCAAATCAAAAATAATTTAGTGATAGTTATTGATGTCATTTGTCGTTTTAATTTTTAAAGTTAAAGAAAAGAAATGATATATGGAGTAAATTTGGGAAGAATGCAAAGGGAAGAAAGGATGATATGATGTCATCATTTCCTCTTTCTTCCTGACAAATACTTCTTCAACTTGCTCAATTCTTAACTTTTTTCATTAATTTAGGATAATGACAACTAATTATCATCAAATTATTCTTTAATCTATTTAAATTTTATCATTGAAAATGCAAAAAGTTAAAAAATCGCTGAGCTTTCTGTGACCGTATTCGTCGTTCTTCAATCTTTTATCTTTGCACTAAATATACCGCACACATACACACAACACAAAACACATGTTTATATATGATATAATGTGTGTATACAAGGGAGAGGAAGGCTGTCAAAGCTAACATTTTACCCATACATCTCCCTCCAATACGTAATTGTCTATTTTGTTCTTTCATTGTAGGAAAAAATTTCAATTTAAATGTATTTTATTTGAAGTAGTTGCAACTGAAATATAGATGTTACGTTGGAAGTATTATGTACGTAAAGACTATTTTTTTGACTTTTTTTTTAATGACTACTTTTTAAATATATGCTAGAGAATAGTCTTTTTGACTATCCTTGATTATTATTATTATTATTACCATTATCATTATTATAATTAGCATTATTGCTATTATTATAATTATTTTTATTATTACTGCTTACGATTAGTGGCAAATAAATTATATGATATTTCAATAATTTAAAAAGTGTTTTGCAAAATTTATTCTAAAAACAGTGTAAACAAGTGGTATGTTTGCGTAGGATTAATTGTTTTCTTCCCAAAATTTTCCTTTGTACAGAAGGATTCCCACATTTTGCATTTCCTCTGTTTTAGATTTGACTATAAACATAAGGTGATTATCATTTTCCGTAGTTATTACTTACTATTATTATTATTATTATTATTATTATTACTGTTATCATTGTTATTATTACCTTACAACAATTGTTATTATAAAATAATAGACAAAATATGGAATAGAAGGGTTATATTTCATATGAAAGAAAGCAGAAGAATTGAAATGATCCCCTTATATTAGTTTATTCCCTTAAAATTTTGTTTTTGATCTTCATTTATGGGTGGTTGCATACTGCTGTTGATTGTTGAATGTCAAAAGTATGTGCCAAAATATCATTGTGTTATGATCATTATTATACTTTACAGTAGGAATTATTGGACTAAAGACTACAAATATATCTAAATTCAAATCATTCTAGCTTGAAAGCTTGAATTCCC